TTCTGTAATCGAAATCACATCACGATCATGTGGATTAAAATAGATTTTTATATCAGGAGCGTAGTGTACATGGAACCTGCCCTTGACCAAGTGCAGATTCACGTAAGAATGGCATAGTTATATATTACCCACAATTTCTCCAATTCTTGTAACTCTATCGACAATATTAATCGATAGAATTAGAAGAATTGGAGAGCATGTGGGTTATATTTTTTTGTATCTAATGGAGCAATAAATATTTTTAACGTAACTCCACTTATGCCATTCTTCCATGAGAGGTGCGACTTGTGTACGTGTGAAGCCATTTACATTCGCTACAAACGTAATATAACCACTTAACTTTTAAAAAAGCGCAATGCCAGAATTTTGATAATTTAAACAGAGATTCGTAATACGTCGCATTATTAATGACGGGAAATAGTTCCCCAATGTTTTTTAAAGTGTTCCCAAATGATATTTTCGTGTTGTAAATCAATTTGCGGTGTAGCGTTGTAGGAGATCACATCAGCTGTTTGGTGTTGACAGTTTAACTGTTCCCGGAAACCGGGTGACGGACTGAATGGACAACGTCAAATTGAGCGTAGATTAATTTTTATTTTTACCTGACTAACTTTTGCGAACAAAAAGAAGTGTAATGTTGTACAGGAGCTTACTGGACCGTTTTATAATTGCTGTTCACTGGCAAATGCATTATCAATTTTATGGTGTTGGAAAATAACTAAGTTTTGAAGCTTAATAGACTTGGTAGCATACTGAAGCACTACGTCTATACCAAACGTCGATTTTACATTATTTTTATGCAAAATTATTTACATTATTTTAATATTATAGCAAGTGACGGGACGAACAAGTCGTGCGCCTGGTGGTAAGTGACACGCCTGTCCATAACGGTCGCAGTGCCGTTCAAAGGGCACTGCCACTGCGCCCTGAGACATAAGTTGAAAAATCCTCAGGTGCCTGTAATTTCACCAGGGAATTCCGTACTATGAGTATCAGAGCCACGGAAATCACTCTAGGGTACTTCCCAGAACACCCAAACCAGAACCATTTTAAAAGTTTTCATTTCCTATTTGATCCAACCGGGAATTGAGACTGGGACCTCCTCATCCATCAACCACAGAATAAGCCTTTGGGCCACCGAGGTCGTCAAGTTAATACAAGATATGATCTATTAATAGATAAGCCGGCGGTGCTCCTCTCTTTCTAAATCCGGCGGGGTTGGGGTGGCAAGAGGAAATCTAACGGTACTATATTAAGTCATCACTATATGGAAATGAATTGGTTTGCATTTAGTTAATTATTTAATTTATATAGTATTTAATTTTCAGTGTTAGCTAAATTTAAAAACTTATTAAATCGGTAGAAAAGCAAGTATTTCTACCAACGTCCTGTCCATAACAGTTGCAGTGCCGTTCAAAGCTTTAAATCACAAAGATTTGGCTGCCATTACGCCTGTTACCCTGAGACATAAAATAGACAAGTCCCATGATATCAAAATATCATGACTGTGGCATCACAGTACATTTACTCAAATATTTTATATGCCCGTAAAAATATACATAATTTCAATAAGAAAGAAGATATCGATAATATTAACCGTAAGTCTAAACGCATGGTACCACGATTTCATTTGACCAAGGTATGAGACTCTTTTACGGGGAACTGTAAGATTCCTGAGCTTTTATATTAGGATTATAATTTCCTAAGTTTAAAAACTACATTAAAAATATTTTAATTGAAAAGTCATATTACAAAATTGAAGACTACGTGTTAGATAAAGATATATGGAAAGACGACTTAGCTCTAAATTTCACACAAATTTGTTTGAAAGTGTATTCCATGACATTTAACTTTATTTAAAAAGAGCAATCCCTGGACTTTCTTACTCGTTCTTCTCACGGAAGTCAGTCAGTAAATTTGTTTTACCTATGGAATAAATGATTATTGTTAATGATTTCAGCAGCGCCTTGACCCTTCAAAACCGTAACGAAGTAATGCTCACATTGCTAAGCGGCAGTATTAGGTAAGGTTTAATGATAAAAGCGCCTAGAGTTCCAAATAATATTTTTGGAAGCTTCACAAACACTTCGACAAATAATTGTTTGCACGTAGTTGTAAAAATAAATTATTGTTACGACTTTTCAATTGTTAACCATGTACTTAGAGGTTACTGACAAAAAAAGGCGGAACTTACATCTCTATATACACCTTAACTATCTAATAAACATTGTTACTAAGGTACTTTTAACGCAGAAATCACGTATTACTAAATGAAGGCGTCAGCTGTCACAGTCACCATACACATTTTACAGTTCATGAAGTTCGAAATTGACATTTGTAAGACTTAACTGTAAAGGCGTAAGGTTAAAAATACTACAAAGTTTACTTTTAATAACGCTGTCCATAAGTTGGTTTATTTATCAAGTCACGTAGTCTAATCATGCGAACAATAGATTTCTATGAAATTGGATATAATTTAATGTTCTTTTTATAAAAAAAAAGTAATTGGTTTTGGTTCGATACTCCAATTACGTATATCGATTTATTGTTGTTAATAAAATAAACTTGTTTTGTCGTTGGGTTTATCAAATGATTTAATAATAAAAATCTGCGCAGGTACTGTCAACTCGAGTAGAAAAGTTTTTCTCTTGTCTATTAAGTATATAGCACGAATAAACATTGTGCGCGACGGCCATGCCTATGCATTTGGCGTTAATTTTAAATACGACTTGGAACTTAACAGCTAGCGCCAACCGGTGGACAGTAAGGCAGAGAATATTAAATTTATCAATGTATATTTTATGCTATTACAATTGAAATAAGATATAAATTTCAATGCTCTGAGAGGCAGAGAGAAATGCGCCGCGATGTTCCGAGGTCGGTCTCAAGAGCATTACAATTTATACTACATTTCAATTGAAACCGCAGAAAATATCAATCATTTATTTCACATTACCAATGTCACAATATCACAATTTTTCAATACAATATCAAACGACGACGTTGTGATCGTTATTAATATACTCATGGACACATTTAAAGGAGTGCTAAAAAAAGGTTGAATTATGATAACAACGTTTATATGAAGCACTGGCCGGCCACTTATACCAGAAAGTTTAACTAGTTGAAAAAAAGACTATTTGGTGATTTGAGTACTTCTTTTTTCAAATTAAACGTTCTGGTATATGTGGCATACTATAAACGTTGTTTACCATAATTCAACCAATTTTTAGCATTCTTTTAAATATATTCATGAGCTCCGTGACTATAATAGTAACGTTATATTCTTTGTATTATTTTTTTAAATAAAATATATGTATAATAGACGCCTATAGTACTTATGGAACACAATCTGACATGACGATGTTGTGCAATTGGAAATAAAACAATTTTTTTTGGAAATACATGAATATAATAAATCTTAGAACCTATTTAGTCGCGCGTATGTACCGCGCATTTTGATAAGAGAAAGTTTTAATTTTAGTTTTGTTTGTTTATTAAAATGAAGCAACTAGATAAAATCCTAAGAGTAAACTCCAGTGGAGTATATAAGCTTCTTG